GATAAAATCAAAAGCCCCGTTACTAACAAATATGACTGCTACAGCTTAGAGAGAGGGTGACTGAGCGATACCCTTCATCTCAGAGTCGACAAAAGTTTACAAGCTTCTCACTCTTATGTCCAAGTTTCCTTTTAATGTGAGCAATTTTTCGTTATAGTTTATTCTTTAGATTTATTCTATATTCAATATTTAGCTCTGATATGACTAAGAGTCCAGCAAAATTATTTAAATTTATATACCTAAATATGAGAACAGTGCTATTCCCCTGGCTTATCATTTTTTATTTCGACATTTTATTACAGTCACATCATATAATATATGATGTACGAAAAGTCCGAAAGAAATAAGAGAGTTCAGGGTTCCCTTTGGACTTATAATGTACAATCTATGCACATATCTCTTAATATGACAGTGATATGCCCTCTTCGTTGCCACTATTTATACAGGGTATACTAGAACGTAGGAAGGTAAACGATTGGATTGTTTGTCATTTTATTTCGTTGTATTTGATATTTGTGTGGTTGTGTAATAAACGATGAGGTTTCTTCTTCACACTTTCCTGATTAGGCATAAAATAAACCACACACACACACACATTGCTAGTTGGGGATATATGTATGTATTCCTTGTCAAAGTCAAGTACTTGATGTCACCCATCAGTGATTACTATACTAATTGTCCACCTGATAAATGAGCTCAGAACTGATTTGCTCAATTATAATTTTCATTTTTGTTCATTCATTTTCAGCCCTGAACAAAGACAATGTGCAGCAGACGTTGAGCGTGATCTACAGCTGGGCCTTCTTTGTGGGCTCGATCTGTGCCATGGACCTGGTGGCCGGCGTCATCTTCGGCGTTGACTTTAGCCGCTTCCATGCGCGGGCGTCCGAGTTCAATGCGAACAGCATCAATTCCGGTTACGTGGATCCCAATGCGCCGCAGCTCGTTGCTGGGGGCGTGGCAGCCATCTCAATGATGCTGATCGCGTTCAAGGGCTTCATCATGTGGCTGATCAATGTGTATTTGCTTAGCTATCTGCTGGCACGAGCTGTGCAAATTTCCCAAGATAAGGACGGTTCGGTAAGTGACATCATCTGACTCAGTGACGCATCGGTCTTGTAATTGGGCTGCCATAAATCACGGCAAACCCAGTTGTCAGCCCGCCCACCCAGCTACTAAGATCAATGAGCTATGCAGACATGGCACCCTCTTGTGTGGTATGTAAGCGACAAATTCTTTCGATGACTACGCCGTGCGCCTACGACACGTCTATAGTTAGAGTTCTGCGCATATACTACGTACCCAGCAGCTTATCAGTCGGCAGCGTCCAGTAGTCGATAAAATGGCTTACCCGCACACGCTGATAAATATAATAATAATGAGCCTGTTTTGAAGCAACTGCCAATATACCCTGTAATCATGCAATTCTTTTGAGAGCGCTCTCACATCATCTCTCTAATTTTAATAGGAGCGGTGCGACTAAACCTCAGAGTTACCAAACTCTGTATATACCTGTATGTATTTATGCCTCTCCCTGTCTCTCTCCCAGTCTGTCTCTCTGTTTGTCTGCCTACCAAAAGCAAGACACGAAGTTGTCTATGTGTATTACCAATACTCATTTCGTATTTATAGTCAAGTAAAACGAAGCTAGGCACTCTCTGAAGCTGCAGAGAGGCCTCCCATTGGTTACTCAAGGCCCGACTGCAACGACTTCTACGACCTCAACGACTTCTGGCGTCGGGCTCAACATTTGAGAGCGACTCGGTGACTGAGTGAAGGTCGCCCTATATAAAGGGCAGCAGCTTCAGCATTTCTTTAGTTGCCCAATCCTGGTAGGGGTCAATCGAGCAGTGTAGTCAAGTGAAGTGTGTGTAAATATTTAATGAACGTTTAACTAAGCCTTAAATACTTAGAGGAAGTACTTAGAAGAAGTACTTATAAGAATGGAAACACTTAAAGAAAACAGTTAAAACAGAAACATATAGACGAAATACTTAGTAGCAATACTTAAAAGAAATACCTTTGTGAATTACTTACGTAAATAACTAACAGGAAATACTTTGAAGAATAACGTATGGGAAATACTTGGAGAATATACTGACAGGAAATACTTCGTTGAAATGCAGGAGGAAATGCTTGAAGGAAATACTTAGAAGAATAATAGAGGAAATATTTATAATACCTTTAAATTATTTATTGGAAAGCCAATTTATGCTCTGTTTATTTTTCTGTGGCTATATTCTCTTCACATATTCCCCATAATCAAATTCATTTCTGTTCATTACAGGACACACTCTTCATGCCACGCAAAGACTCCAACGATATACTCAGCAGCAGACCACCAATTCGCGCCTACGAAGAAGAGAAGTAAGTTAGCCTAGTAATTCAATGTCCTTTTTCTCTAATTATACTCTTTATTTAAACAGATTGGAGGTGCAGGCATACACCAATGATGCCTACATGCCGGAGACTCGCTCCACGGCGGAGACCATTGAGGTGAACGAGGAGGCCATAGTTCGTGCTGCTCATATGTCCCGTGATGCTAATCTGATGGATCGCCGCTTCCGCAGCATTGATGCCTTCCAGCAGTATCCGGCGCCCAACCCGAATAATCGACCTCTGCGACAGTCCTCGCAGGGTCCTGTTCAGGAGACAATAGTCATGGCCTCCACCGGTTTCCCCATGCCCGACTATTCGCCACAGCCCAGTCCCAATCCCAATGGCATACTGCGTCGCAATCAGTACTAAATGTGTGCCAAGGCATTTCCACCTAAAGTAATCCATATAATTCTCAAATATTTAACGCCCCGCCCCCGCCGCCAACCCAAACGGCAACGTTACACAAGTAAAGCCAACAAAGAAGTAAAGCAGCTAAAATTAAGTAAGACAAAATATACTTGGCGCCAATTGTAGTTTTTATCAGAGTATTATGTTCTATTTATTTACGTTCAACTAACAATAGATGTATATATATCATTATCTGTGAATACAATATTTACAATATATACATATTTATACTTATTTGCACACACAGTATAATTAAATGTGTTTGATTTTTTTCCATTGCTGATAAGTGGACGAACTAATGTAGAAAATGTCCGGTCTATTGAATCATGGACCCCAGCAACGACTTTGTGGAGATTGTCGAATGTGCAACGTCATTAAATAATTAAATAATTACGTGATCTATTTTTGCAGTTTTGAATTCAGCGCTAAAAGAAAAATGCTTTCGATAATTCTAGCTTCACTACTAATATACAAAATATTCTTAGGCTATACAAAATATTAATACCCTTAGTTTTATAGATGTTTTTTAATGCTAGACAAAAGTTTAAAACATATTTATTAAAATTAAAATTTTGCGCCACATTTGAAAACTTATCGATTACTCTAACAGCGTTGCATAGACACTAAATGGTCATAGAATACCGAGCATTATGCGCTTACGGTGCTCATTTTCGCGCTTGCGTTGCGCAGTTCGAGCCCACCCATCGAACGCAGGTCAATCGAAAGTTCACAAAAATAATTCATAATATTGATAAGCCGGTCGAATTTCAAGACAGATTTTTGACTTAAAGTGTTTTTGTTAAGCGTAAAACGTAGTACGCTGTCTGAATACAGCTCATTTCATTTTGAAACGTGCTCGGGGCCATAACGTGCCGGTGAAAATCGTAAAGCAAATACAATTATATATATAAATATTCACATTAAAGAATTTTCAAACGAAAATGGTTTTCATAACAAAATTCGCTCGTGTTGGTGTACATATGGCTCGTCAGGTGCGTGCCATGCCTCTTGCGGCAGCACAGTGGCGCAGTTTCCATGTCAGCTGCATCCTAGACAATGGTAAGAAAATGGATTTATGCAATCACATGAAAGAACCACAACAACGGTTTGAGAGCCACTGGTAGCGAGTCAGCTGTAAACACAACAGGTATTAATAGGTATTCTATCTTACAGAGCGACGCTTCACAGACAAACACGAATGGGTTGAAATGGTAGATGATAACAAAGCCATTGTGGGCATCTCCAGCTATGCACAGGAAGCATTAGGAGATGTTGTGTTTGCCCAGCTGCCCGAACCGGGTACCGAACTGAAGAAGGACGATGAATGTGGTGCTCTCGAGAGCGTTAAGGCGGCCAGCGAGGTTTACTCGCCCGTCAGCGGCAAGGTGACGGAAAAGAATGGCGATGTCGAGAATACACCAGCCTTGGTCAACAGCAGTTGCTACGAGAAAGGTGAGATGTTCATCATAATCTCGGTTACAATATTCGCCCCACTAACAAATACAATCTTTCTCAGGTTGGCTGTTCAAGGTAGAAATCAAAGATGCCGCGGAAATAAAGAAACTCATGACTGAGGAGGAGTACAAAGACTTTCTTAGCAACAGTGCCGATCACTAGTCAGCTATGGAATAATTGCATTCAGATAAAACATACGCTGTAATCGCTTACATAATTCACAATCTGCCTGAAACACACAACTCTCATCATCCACATCATCCACTCACAAATTGGATTTCGTTACGCTCTAAGAATAAACTGAATAGCCAAATATTACACTTGAAACAATCACAATCGCAATCACAAAATGACCCACGGGTGGCACCTCAACATTGCTGCTCCACAACATCGCAGCTCCCCCCCACGGAATCACTACGGCTGTGACTGATAAGACAGTCGAACCGCGCGAGCAATAGAATGAGTGAGAGCGAGAGTAACGGTGTGCGTTCTCAGCGTGTGAGTGGACTCTTATCAAAGAACCACTCAAAATCCACTCAACGTTAGATCATTGCCAAACAGCGTGGCGTTGGCTCAGCGGAAATGGCCGCTGCAGCGGCAGCATGTAACAAGATGTGTTGCTGAGGTTGCGATTATCACCTGATTACGTTCAGCGGCAGACGACGCACTAGATCAGCAAAGGCAAATCACACACCCTTAGTCAGGCGTGCAAATGTACGTACGTACCAAAGTACGTACCGTTATGCGGCGATAAGGAACTGATGGGCAGGTCGAGCGTCTGTCAGTGTCAGTCCACAAAACACAGATGCTGATAAGCTTGCCTATTTTGAACTTGACGGCGCAAGAAAGGTTCTCGTTCGCGCGCTAAAAGCTCATCGGGCGAAAGCTCTCGGCATGGCAAAAAGCTTGATATCGGGCGAGCGCTATGCTCAGTGCTCAAATTGAACTCGGACCGTGCGGTACAAGAAGTCGTGCGTTGCGGGTAGTAGTGGAACAAACTCTCTCACACACACACACAAACACAAACATACAAATATATCTATAAACATATATACAAGCTGAGACACGGGCACACGCACACATTGTTAGTCAAGGGCCAAACAAAGTGACAGTTAATACAAGGGGCACAGTGACAAGTTGCATGAGCAAAGGATAATTGTCATAGATTCGCAGAGCCTACCAAGTGGAGCAAAAGATACAACAGACGCAAAATGCCAACGGAAAAATCAATATTCAATCCGAATCCGGCGATTAGCCGTAATGCCTACATATCCAGCTTTGAAGAGTACACGAAATTCTACAAGGAGTCCTTGGACAATCCCGCTGAGTTTTGGTCTCGCGTAGCGAAACAATTTCACTGGGAGACGCCAGCGGATCCCTCCAAATTCATGCAATACAATTTCAATATCTCCAAAGGACCCATCTCCATCAAATGGATGGAGGGCGCCTCGACCAATATTTGCTACAATCTGCTCGATCGAAATGTTCGCAACGGCCTAGGCGATCAAATAGCCTACTATTGGTAAGTTTGAAAACAAATGTTGGCCCCTTGGCCTGGTCACATGAAAACAAAAGTAAACGTAAAGGATAATTACGTATTGATTTTTTTTTATTCATGCTTTTGCTATTACGAAACGCGCTCGTGACGTAGGCCAAGTGCTGCCTGCCACCCATCGTTGTGGCAGTCGCCTCCTGCCTTTACCTACCCTTGATTCGCTTGCAGTGCGCAGGCACGAGACAAAGCGAACAGATGTTCGCCCTTAACTTAGGCAGAGGCAGCGGCAGAGCAGCGACGGAGTAACCGTAGCTTTGACTTAGGTCGCCTCTTACTCTCTCCTTTACGCAGTTTCTCTTTCAACGACAGAGCATTTTACGAGTTGACAGCTGACTGAATATACGATTTCATTAGTTAAAGCAACTACAGCGCCTACTTCTCGGGAAGGTCAATGCCAGAGCTCTGCGCGCAGGTACATACATATATAGTATGTATATCGATATTGAATGTAGTATATTATATTTGAGTTGTAAATTGCAAAGTTTCTTAGTTTTCTTATCCATGTTTACTTAGTTCTTCAAAAAAATTCAATTGAAATACAATCTAGACGTAATATGAAAGTTTCCCATCGTTTCGATTTGTAATCAAATTGATTTATTTTGTATTTTATCAATGCCTAATTGCTGAATCAGGTGCTACAACTGATTCGAGAGTTCTTCAAAAGTTATTAGTGCTCTTAGATCGTAATCGATTACGTCTTATTGCGTCTTTTCCGTTTGTTTTTCTTTTTCATATTTTTGTGGAAAATTTTTGTCTTGCAGGTTATCGTTCAGAAAGTTCAAATCAATTCCGACATAAGAAAAAAATTAAAAAATATTTAACTAATGTTAATTTTTTTCTAATCTCGGGTTATCGATGAGTTCAACGTAGTTCCGCAGACGCGTGCGAAAAGAAATGCAAATCGTAATTGATATTTATAGAGCATAGGAAATCAGGTACATACAGATATGCATACAGACATCGGTAGAGCAGAGCTTGGCAAGGTCAAACTGGGAATATGTCTGAAAACATAAGGCTCAAATCCCAAATACATACGCTCATCGGTGAGATAAGATAAAGCGCGAAATAACCAACAATTAACAATAACAAAATAGAGGGAAAAATATAGATAATACTCAGACGAAGCAATAAAGTAAAAAACCAAAGCAAAATCTTTTTTTGTTTCTTTCAACATTTAGTGTGCCATAAAATATATAATATTAGGTTACAATACATGCACACGTGTGGCCATTGGTATTGTCAGTTTTATATAAGCGGGCGATTAGCACAAGGCGCTCAAATTGTTTATTCAAATTAAATTCGATGCGAACGCAACAAAACAATACAAAATCGAATCAACTCAAATCAAATATTTCGCGCCTTAATGTGTGTCACAACGTCTGGCAATGGACAAGTGGCGAAACACAGAAGGAGGAGGTAAACGAAGAGCGAGAAACAATGCCAGTGTCAAAAGTTTAAAGATACAGGGCGAACTTCAAAGCGCAGCCTCCGTACTGCAGGTCACAGTTTTGGCAGCACTGTGCGACCCACAAAAATCACGCGATCACATCGTCCGATTACTCACAGCCAATCACAATCACATAGAGAGAATTCGTAGGCATTCACACATGCGCTAAACCGGCTAAAAAGTGCGCGTGTGTGAGTGTGTGCGTGTGTAAAAGAAACGAAAATTTTGTGTTAGTGCTGACATAAACTGAAGAGCAAGCGAAAGGGCATGCACAACAGCAACAACTTTAATTGGGCAATCATACACACATACGTGAGTATGTGTGTTTGTTGTTTGCTTTTGTCCCCTTTCGCCCACGTTTTGTTATCACTTTTCGCAACAGTGCGCATTTGTAATTGGTATCAAATTATTGATGTGCCCCATTTATAGTAGAAAACCCTCTGTGTACTCTACACTCCAATCTACACACTCCACACTCTACGCTCTTTTTATTACATAAACAAAATGCTTGGACATTAAAAACAGTTTGCATAATTTAGCATCTGATAACTACGTTGGCTTGTCAAAAATCATACGATGCTGCTCCCAAACTGTAGGGCAGACCGGCTAACCTTTCATTCACAGGCTAAACAGAATAGAATCCAAGCGAGAAAAAGCTAACCTGAAATTCTTCACGCCAACAACAAATGAAAACATTCGATACGATTTGTTTTATGCCTCTTTAGTGTTTTGTTTTTGTTTAGATTTCAGACACGCGAATCAACAGCTGCTTACGCCAAGATTACTTTTATTATTGTTGTTGTTGTTGTTGCTGTTGTTGCTGTTGTCGGCTGCCGCAGCTCCTCACATGATTCTACTTGCCTGCATGCGATTCTTCCCAATACAAAATATGCGATTTTTTTTTCAAATTTTGAATTTGCGATAAGCGAGGTGGGCCACGTGTCTGTCTGCTGCCAATGAATGGCCCCGACATCGGTCAAGATCATGAGCTGTTGCCGTCTTTCAATTGGTTTCCAGGCAATGTGCATGACCAGCTAGTAATTGATTAGCTGGAAGATAGTCTAGCGACAAGGGGAGCGCAACAGTTGCTTATGAACAAACATTGAAAATATCGCGCCATAGACCGACGGGCTAACACTCATAATTAGTCATTTGCAGAGAATGCTCACAACAGTTTGACAAGGGTCGAAGTAATGTGATGTATTAAGTGTGAGCAGTGCTTGCTAAACTGCACAGAGAGCGAGCATAGATAGGGGAGCGGGAGAGAGCTTGGCCTTGATTTAAGCACAGGCTAACTTAACAGCGCTGTTAGCTTTAACAGTCGCTGTTATTAATCATACTGCTGTTGTTATTGCTGCTCGCAGTTTATTGAGCAGATTTGGTTGTTTTAGTTTGCGATATATTTTTAACATCTTACTAATTGAATACCATTTCACATGCGTTGAAAATTATTTCGCTAGGTTTCAGTAGCGGCTATCGGACATCCACATACATATGTATATAGGCCAAGTCATAGCATATACGAGAAAAAAGTGTACTTTGTACCGGACTGTCAATGATAGCTGTGCTAAAATAGCATTTTATACGTCATGATTGCGATCGACTAACTTATTTATTTCCTGAATTATTTTCTGACTCTTATCGTTCGATATGACAAAGCGATGGGATACCACCTCCCACACCTCCATGTTTAATATTTAGTCACTGATTTACAGCTTTTGTATGACATTTGAGTCATTTAAACGGTTATTTCGTTTGGGCTTTGTGTACTACTGCACGTCGTGACGTCTAGCACTATGACTGTTGACCTAGACCAAGACCCGCAGCCGTAGAGGTTCGAGTAGCTTTCTCTATTGCCGCTTGTCCTTGAGCAAATATACTATAATGTGAATATATATACATACATACGTCACGATTTTATAATCGATTGTGCATTGCGTTCTGTTGTTAAGTTTATGCATTTTGTTTTGGGTGCAATTAATTCTACTCAGACAATTGAATGGATAACAGTGTGCTCTAAAAGTATAGTGATTAACAACAGGTTTCGGGCTAGAAATATGTTTAAAATTATACTTATTTATACTTTTTAGTTGGGTTGTCTTGATTAAGTTAAAGGTTGGAACTCTATTAATGAAAACTTTAAAAAAATTAAAATATTTTACAAATATATTATCTATCCAATGATTAATGGATAGCCAATTCTAATGGTTGATAAAGCATAAATTTAGATAAGTTAAATATTTATAAAAATTTGAGAAATTATCTCCGACCAAAATTATCTTATGAGTGCTTTTTATTGTTTTCGTAAAAGAAAATTTGTTTCGCAGAAAAATGAGAAATAGTTGTTAGTCATATTCTCTTTTGGGTATAGTTTCATACGCTTTGTTTTGTTATTGCTTGCCAATATAGTTTCTAGGTATCATCAATTTATAATTATTTATAATCGTATAGAGTATTATCTGTTTGCAGTCAAGATTTTAGTGCCGTAGGTATACTTAAATTGCAGACTGTTGAATATTATATACATACGATATACACATGTACATGTATGTATGTATATACACATGCAGTGTATAAGTAGGCTATGCAGCTGTCTCTTTTTGTGGTCGGTTATTGGCTTTTGTTGCCAGGTTGAGAATCAAAGAAATAAAAAAATAAAAGGAAAAGGCGCAGTCCGGCTAGCAGCTAGGGACGGGGCGAGGGCAGCGGAGGCAGGCAGCTTATCAAATCATCAAATTATGTTGCAAATTCAAATGAAATAGCTAGCGACAATTAGGAAGCATCAAATTGCAGTAAGTGATCCAATTGAGGTGCTGCGTGGGTGTTTAAATAGGTATCCACTTAGCTCTCTAGAGACAGACAGCGTCTCTCTCCCTCTCCCTCTCCCTCTCTCTGTATCCCTTTCTTTCTCTCTTTCTCTTCTGGCTGGGCAGATTGCCAAAATGGACATATTATTTATTTCCGCATTTATTTCTCATTGTCTTGCAGGGAGGGCAATCACCCGGATGACTATTCGCGTGGTCTCACCTACCGCAAGCTGCTGGAGGAGGTGTGCCGCTTCGCCAATGTGCTGAAGGATCATGGCATTCAGAAGGGTGATCGCGTCTCCATTTATATGCCCATGATTCTGGAGCTGCCCATTGCGATGTTGGCTTGTGCTCGCATCGGTGCCGTGCACTCGATTGTGTTTGCCGGATTCTCGTCGGATTCCTTGGCGGAACGCATGTTCGATTGCAAGGCCAAGCTGCTGATCACGGCCGATGGGGCTTGGCGTGGCGAGAAGCCGCTCTACCTGAAGGCTTTGTGCGACACGGCGTTGGAGAAGGTGGAGGAGATGGGCCACTCCGTGGAGAAGTGCATTGTGGTGTCGCATCTGAAGCGCGTGACGCCCTGCCAGGACAATCATGTGGACCAGGACATACCGTGGACCGATGATCGCGACTACTGGTGGCACGAGGAGATGGAGGATAAGGAGCCCGCCTGCTATCCAGAGTGGATGGATGCCGAGGATCCCTTATTCATGCTCTACACGAGCGGCTCCACGGGCAAGCCCAAGGGCGTGCTCCATACCACGGCTGGCTACCTGCTCTATGCGGCTACCACGTTCAAGATCGTCTTTGACTACAAGCCCGGCGACATCTACTGGTGCACTGCCGACGTGGGCTGGATCACTGGACACACCTACGTGGTCTACGGACCACTGGCCAATGGCGCCACCTCCATTATCGTGCGTACTGCAATTAGCGCGCCATTGCTTAGTCAATTCACTAACTTTACTTTTGCTTTGCTTGCAGTTCGAGGGCACGCCCTTCTTCCCGGGCAACGATCGCTACTGGAGCGTCATTGACAAGTACAAGGTCACCCAGTTCTATACGGCGCCCACGGCCATACGCGCGCTCATGAAGTTCGGCGAGGCGCCAGTGCTCAAGCATAATCTGACTGGACTCAAGTAGGTCTAATTAGCTAACCAAAGTCGAATGTAAAGCTAATGCGCCTCTCTCTCTCTATCTCCCCCTTTAGGGTCTTGGGCAGCGTTGGTGAGCCCATCAATCCAGAGGCTTGGCTTTGGTACTATCGCTACATTGGCAAGGAGCAGTGCTCCATTGTGGATACCTTCTGGCAGACGGAAACTGGTGGACATGTCATAACGCCTCTACCTGGAGCCACGCCCATGAAACCAGGCTCTGCGGTAAGCGAATCATTAGATGTGAATGAATAGGCCATTTTGTAATACGTTTTCATTTTCGCAGTCTTTTCCGTTCTTTGGCGTCAAGCCGACTCTGCTGGATGAGTGCGGCATCGAGATTAAGGGCGAGGGCGAGGGTTACCTGGTATTCTCGCAGCCCTGGCCGGGCATGATGCGCACGCTGTACAACAATCATGAGCGTTTCGAGGACACCTACTTCTCCAAGTTCCCAGGCTACTATTGCACTGGCGATGGTGCGTTGAACTATATCCTCTATCCATATCTATATAGCTAACTAATTTATTTTTTGCAGGTGCACGTCGTGATGCCGATGGCTACTTGTGGATCACTGGTCGCGTGGACGACATGTTGAATGTGTCTGGCCATCTGATGTCCACGGCCGAGGTGGAGTCTGTGCTCACGGAGCATCCGCGTGTTGCCGAATCGGCTGTGGTGTCTCGCCCCCATCCGGTCAAGGGCGAATGCCTCTACTGCTTTATCACGCCCAATGAAAACGAGACGTTCGATCAAAAACTGATCGCCGATCTGAAGAAGATGGTACGCGAACGGATCGGACCCTTCGCCATGCCAGATGTTATACAAAATGCGCCAGGCTTGCCCAAGACACGTTCCGGCAAGATTATGCGCCGTGTGCTGCGCAAGATCGCCGTCAACGATCGCAACGTGGGCGACACGTCCACGCTGGCCGACGAGCAGATTGTGGAGCAGCTGTTCGCCAATCGGCCCGTAGAGGCCAAGTAGACGGACCCATTGATGCAGTTACTCTTCGCTTATCGAATGACCTTGCTGCCCTGTAGACCTTTACCTAGCTATAGGCTAACAGTTGATCAGCTTCTAACCACATGAATCTTGTAAATCTCCTCCCCCATATTATCTATGTTTAACGTTTAACTGTTGGCCCCCGCCCGCCCCCTGCTAGCCGGGCTTACAGATTCCACTTAGTTCGTAAGCTGTGTGCGTAAGTAATGGTTCATCATGCACTTGGATACATATGCGAAATGCACTCGTTATTTTCTATATATATATTTCTATATATATATATATGGATTCCTGGTTCTATATCGTATATGTCCTTATATTCTGTAGTTAATATTATACACTGAGCACGCACATTTTTCCAGTTCTTTTGTTTCTTTGTTGTAGTCTTAGATTAAGTTTTTGCTAAATTCGTTGTGATACAAATTTAATTATATATTGATTATGTATGTATTTTTAGTAGAATTGATATAACAAAATATATACACGATTCCAGTAATATCCATTAACAAAAAACAACACACGATTACACAATTTTGATTTGGTCTTGTAGTTCTTCACACTATTTTATATATTTTAAGTTGAGTTCGATCTCCAGTCGCTTACAGCACCAGCCTAGCTCAGTGAGGAACACGTAAGTCCGGATCATAGATATATATATATATATATATATAATATTAGATATATATTTGTGTTGACATTTACTAGACGTTCGAAACGTTTGTTAGCTTTTAAGATTGGGAACGAAACATATCAGTGTTGCATAAAGCTTATCAGCATTCCTATATACATATATATTTATTTGATATACATATTTACATATAAATATCGTCTACGCTATATGGTCGAATGAAGACTAACCGCAACAAAAACATATCATTGAACGAAACTGCTGCTAAACTCAAAATTTATATAAAATATTTCAATTATATAGCATATATACTTATATATATACATATATGCCATTGTTAGTCGAGTTTGCCCCGATGCTCAGAGCTATCTATCGCAACTGAAGAATCAGGCAAACAGACCATAGTAAGTATTTGTTATTTATAGTTATCAACGTTGGGCGAGAGAGTCGAAAGAGATTTGAATGGAACGTAGTGCTTCTTAATCTAAATGGAGGGTCGTCCCAGCAGCGGCCCTCTCCGATTGTATAAAGTTGATTAGCTTTAGAGCGTGTGTTGATGCGAAACGAACTCACATTATCTAACCCTGATATATGTATATGATGTACATACATATTTAAAATATATATATATTTATCGAATCATATATACATGTATGTGTATAATAAAGTTTATTGTTTCAATGTGTTTCAATGCAATTCTGAGTTCTCTAATCTAAGTAAATAAGGGACCTCGCCCAAGGTCCTTCAGAGAGTTGCGCAGTGAGAGTCGAATTTGAAGCTCCCGGCCCCGGCTGGTCAGGAAGAGAGCCTGGACTTAAACTTCTATATTGGGAATTGATTCTAAAATATCTAAATTAGCCAAAGTTTTCTCCCTTCTCCATTGATCCATTGTGAAAATGCAAGCCCTTCTAAGAACTTTGCAAATTCCTTGCTTTAGCAGGCAATTCTCCCAGGTAGATGTCGATCTGGCCTGCAGTTTAGTCTCGGAGCTGACCAAGGAAGCTGGTAAGGTAGGACGTTGACTGGAATAGCCATGCTATATCAGTGTTATCCATGCGATATATCTGCAGATCATGATGCGGGCTCAAGAACAGAAGCCGGAGTACACGACAAAGGCACATGAGCGCGATCTGGTCACTAAGTCGGACCGGGATGTAGAGCGTTTGCTGGTCAGAGGCATCAGAGAGGTGTTTCCCGACCACGAGATCATTGCCGAGGAGGGCACACAGGGCACGGCCAAGAGCTGGGTGCTCACGGATGCGCCCACCTGGATCATTGATCCCATCGATGGCACAACTAACTTTGTGCACGGATTTCCCAATTTCTGCACCTCGATTGCTTTGTACGTGGAGAAGAAAAGCGTGCTAGGTTGGATAGAGAATCCAATGCTGAGGCAAAGCTACGTCACACAACTTGGCAAGGGGATTCGCTTCAATGGGCAGCCGATGCGCGTCAGCGGGCAGCGGGAGCTGAAGAACTCGCTCGTCTATATGGAGTGCTCCATCAAGAACCACGAAGACGTTGATAATGTGAGCTTGAAGAATATCTTTAGGCTGGGGCCCACAGCGCATGGGTGAGTGCGATTTGAGGGTTTTCAGAGCCGCAGTCCGTTGATCCGAATGGACTCATCCTTAGCATACGCACCATGGGCTCAACAGCGCTCAATCTGGCCCAGGTGGCTGTGGGAGTCTGTGACGCCTATCTCCACTGCGGCTCCCACGTCTGGGATTGGGCTGCCGGCGTGCCAATGGTGCAGGAGGCGGGCGGCATTGTGATCGATCCCTGCGGCGGGCCCTTCGACATTTATGCACGGCGCATGCTGGCAGCGGCCACGCCCGAGCTAGCCTACCAAATTGTGCCCCTGATAAAGCAACTGTTTCCCACTCCCCGAGACGATGAGACGCAGTAGACTGGAAAATATAAACATATGCATGAGTAGGCTTCAGATCAGATTGGGACCAGTTCGGCATTTGGAATCAAAATTTTCATTTCAAATTTTGAAGTGTGTTAAAACAGGCAGATGCAGAGCATTAGTAGGAGAGTTTCGGCAATCAGCAGCAGCCGTGGTCTGCTTGCCACAGTCGCCAACCGTATGCCTCACTTAATGAGCAAACTCAATGCTATTGCATCTGACAAATGCCGCTTACCACTGAAAAGGCCATTCAATCAGGGAACATGGCGTCTGAAGGCGATGCACAGCCACGCGAGCTTGGCGTCGATGAGTTCAGATCGGAAGCGCAGACTGGTTGAGAATATATCGAAGACATATCCATTGAACAAGTGAGTAGATGCTCATGCAGAGGCCATGCTATGCTAATCGAAAGCTCATGCTCATGCTCATGCTCATGCTCATGCTCATGTTCGTTCAGGTTCAGAAGCGAAATAAAAGGGAATTTGTTTAAGGCTGCAGCCACTCCAAACATCGGGTCGACTCGTGATCAGCTTCCAGGCGACTGGGGCAATTCATTGGGAGTGCTGGCAAACCTATTCCAGCATGAGGTCGCTTCGGACTCGAACACACAAAGCAATGGCATAGATGTACAAAATACGATGAACTTAGGCGCCGAGGAACTCGAATCTATCGACGAGGTGATGAAAAATGCCCAAGAGTAAGTCTTCAATTGGACTTGCATTCGATTGAGAGAGCAGTAAAAGTCAATTCCTATCGATTACTAGATTGCGTAGGCTGGGCAGAAAATATTTGATCAGATGTAAGAAGCCATGGGAGATTAAGTCGGGCCTATATGAGCTTGGCTGCCAGGCGTGGCACGTGGGCACGGCAATTCTGTTTTTGAACCAGGACCACAAGGCGCATATGCTGCTGTCCTATTCAATGAGGAGGTGGACAGATCAGCTTCTAGCATTACTTAAACGGATGCACCCTGAGCTCCAGATCGTGGAGCGCAGGGGCTCTATCAAAGTAACGAGTCGTGAGCCGTATTCCGACCAACCAAGTACTGTAAAAAAGAATGAGAGACGTGCTGAGAAGTCTAAACACAACTGGGCAGTTGCAGATCCACGCTTACCAGGTCAGCACTACTGACCACACGGATATGACGGGCCGAATATGGATTTGCCAAACTTCCTACTTGTAGCAGGCATATTAATTTAAATCAGTAAACGGTTTTTATTTTACAAATTGTTCACAATACAGACTATTGCTTAAATATGTTCAGATTGGCATGGCAGCAGCTGTTGCGGCGGGGCAACGGGTCGACCAAATGTTGCTCGACTGCCAGCTGTGAGGTAAAGTGGACAGTGGATGTTGACAAATGTGCCAAAACGAGCTGTGCGCTGGTCAATCAGGCGGCAGAGGTAAGAGGGAGTGGGAGAGAGGGAGAGCTGGGGATATATGTATGTAGGCATGTTCAGCTGGCATAAAGCAATTCCTTCTGCTAGCTACTGAACGAGGCAAATAAAGAGATCCGCGTCTTTGAAACCAAAGCGAATAATCAGGATCTGGTCACAGTCACAGACCGTCAGGTCGAGGAGTTGCTGGTGAGCGGCTTGAGGCGAGAGTTTCCCGAGCATGTCTACATTGGGGAGGAGGGCACCTCCGACCACGCCACGGGACGCCAGCTGACCAATCAGCCCACCTGGATCATAGACCCCATTGATGGCACCGTCAACTTTGTGCATGGCTGTCCCTACAACTGCATCTCCGTGGCCCTCTGGCTGAACAGGCAGCCAGAGCTCGCGGTATGCTATTGCCCCACACTGCAGCTCAAGCTGACAGCTCGTCGGAAGTGCGGCTGCTACTTGAATGGCCGCCAGGTACGCACAAGCGGGCAGAGGGAGCTGCGGCGCTCACTGGTTCTCCACGAGATGCACGCCTCCAATATGGGAGCCCAGCACAAGGACACGCTCTGGGCCATGAGTGTCAACCTTTTTTGCAAGGCACAAACGTAAATAATCTCTCTCTCTCTCTCCCAACTGCACTCTCATCAGATCTCCTTCCACAGCCTACGCAGCACGGGCTCTGCTGTTATGGATCTGTGCCTGGTGGCTATGGGCGCGGCCGATGCCTACGTCGAGTTCTTGCCACATTGCTGGGATGTGGCAGCAGGCGCTCTGCTCGTGCGCGAAGCAGGCGGCGCAGTCATGGATCCAGCGGGAGGCGAGCTCGATATCATGTCCAGGCGTGTCCTGGCCACTGCAACGCCCGAGCTGGGCTGCCAAATGGTCCAGCTGCTGGCCGACAGCCAGATATATCACAAACGAGATGATGAGCCTTAGATGGCATGGGGTCACACATCAAATTGTGAATTTGTTGTTTAAGTTTGGCAGCTCTGTTTAGGCATTCTCACACATACACAAACATATATGTATCTATATTATTTATATAGATATATACATACAGAAATACGTACTGCAGTCCGGGCCAGGCTGAGCACTTGTTGACGAGCATGCAACTCCCTAGAGGCAGTTGGTAGATCAGAAGCAGTCATTCAATCAATTGCCATGGCCGATGACAAGAAGCCCGACCCGAATGACCAATCCAGACCATTCAGGAACACAGAGACGGCCGCGGAAAAGCCGGAGAATGCTGCCACAAGCTATGGGCTCGAGGATCATGAGGCGACCGCTCTGGATCCGCGGGTGCACGAGCTGAAGAACCAACGCTCCCAGCATAGGCGTGTGTCAATGCCAGCAGGCAAAACGACAACCCCAAAGGGAGTCTCTGCAACCCCGAGCCAACATAAGGTGGAACGAGTTCAACAAGTCCCCAACAATGAATCAGTGTCGCCCGAAAAGCCTCCAGTGGATGATGTGGAGCGAGTTCAGCAAATCTCCGTCTATAATATTCCCACGCCGGAAAAGTCGACGGTGGAGGCGAATCAAGTCCCTGCCGCGCCTGTTAAGCCGGCTGAGGAGCCGGTGGGAAAGATGTCGCCAACACGACTACAAGAGGAGGCATCTCGAGTCGAAGCAGCTCACGAGACGCCTCAAACGATCACCGTTTACAATCCACCTCCAGTCCAAGCTGTGGCGCAGAAATGCCCCAAAGAAAAGGGCGAGGGAGTAACCAAGACTTGCAATACGGATATTACTTTCGATCCATCGAAGCAGTATGCATCAAAGACAACAAACACCTCGGGCCTGCTCTATGACAACACACCATCCCAACCACCACCACCACCAGCAGCACCATCACCACCACCACCAGCTCCAATAGCAGCACCAGCAATAGTACCATTCGTGGGCGGCTCGTCAGTTCAGAAGAAGTCTAAGCAGGAAATGGATGAAATGTATGAATTGGCTGTTTCCTTAGTCAGGAAGGCGGGTGCCATTGCCTTGTCGGCCAGTAAGGCGCGGCCTGGGGGTGGCAATAAGGACAATACCATCGCGCAGACATCCAACGATATTGAGGAAAAGATAACCAGAGGAATTAAAGATGCTTATCCAGACCACAAGTAAGAGGAAGATTACGATTTTCATTTCTACATAATTTCCTCGATCTGTTCTCCCATTTTTCCCACACAGGATCATCAGTGCGGGAGTGGTAGCTAGGTCGCCTTCCCAGAAGGTGATGCTCACCAATGAGCTGACGTGGGTCATCAACCCAATTGACGGTGTCATGAACCACGCTCATGGCTTTCCCTACTATTCCATCACCCTTGCGCTGATTATGAATAAGGAAACGACCTTTGGCATTGTATATAATCCGGCCTTAAACGAGTTTTATGCGGCGCGCCATGGCGAAGGTACTCAACTCAATGACATGCCCATCCGAGTTAGTGGCCAGGATAAACTCAACAGTGCGCTGGTGCTCCAGGAGTACAACTCCGACATGAGCGAAAACCGAACCTCAGGAGCCATGGAGAATGCCAAGCGGCTTATCAGGAAGACACAAGCGTAAGTCAACTGCCAAATTCCACGTTTAGCGATCTTTCACTTATTTGAGTGCATTTTTTTTTTAAGGTTGCGCACCATTGGGTCTGCGGGCGTGGGCATGGCAATGGTCGCTTCTGGTGCCTCAGATGCCTTTTACTTTTTTGGCCTTCACGTCTGGGATATGGTTGCTGGAAGTATCTTGATCACAGAGGCAGGCGGCTCGGTAATTGATCCGGCTGGCGGTTCAATTGATATTATGTCACGTCGCGTCCTAGGAGCTGCAAGCAAGCAACTAGCAATGACACTATCTGTCGAACTAGTACAGGATTATCCGACACCAAGAGACGATGAGTCACTGGCCTCGCAACCCCTAACAAGGGATTTTAGTGCACAGACAGAATTTTCCGACTCAAGTGATGAGTTAGAATCAGATGGTTCTAGGACGACAGCATACCATAATGCTCAGTAATCGAAATCCTCAATAATTTATTTCATCAAAATTCATGTAAGCCAGTAAATATTGCAGAACGAAAAACACGTTATATTTACTTGTTTTCATATGAACTAAGATCGATTACATTCGATGTCAGTTTCGCTGCACCACATCCTCAATTTTGCAATCACAAAACCCTTTGGTTTTCCACTCAACTAAATTAATAATTGGCATTTATTAAGCTAGCCTTATTTTGTTAATATGCAGTTGATATTTGTGTCATTTGAATTTCATCCACCTAATAAATAATCGATTGACGGCGATAGCGATTTGTGAGTCTCGCCGCACCACAACCTCAATGTTGTCTCTACTTGCCAATATTCATTCTTTTTGCAATCATCTGGCAGCTCAGGTCAATTATTTGCCAATATACATTTTTTTTGCAATCATTTGGCAGCCCTGGTCAAACAGCTGTTTGCTGTAAGCATTTTGAAACTTTTGACATTCGCTGAGCGCAAACATAATTTAATTAAGCAAACTCGTTCGTCAAATACACGTAAGAAAGCAGGCGTAGAATGGCGGACAGCGTAGACTTGGGCAAATGCTTTGAAATTATTAATAATCTGGTAACAGAGGCCGGTCGGGTAAGTCTTTTGCCACGCCTTGATTGGAAAATAATTAAAGGAAGGAGTTTTCATTTAGTTGATTGCGCGAAACAATGAGACGCGTCAGGAGTTTGTGTGCAAGTCCGGTGATATTGATTTGGTCACAGAAACCGATCAGGCTGTGGAGAAGCTAATCATGGACGGCATTCGCCAGCATTTTCCGGATCACAAGTCGGCGCTTTCATTTCGAATGTAAATGCCAATGCCTAACAAGAAATTCGCATTGCAGATTCATTGGCGAGGAGGAGAGCAGCTCCGGTGGCGCAGTCAACAAGCTGACCGATGAGCCAACCTGGATTATCGATCCCGTCGACGGCACCATGAACTTTGTGCACGCCTTTCCGCACTCCTGCATTTCCGTGGGCCTCAAGGTGAATAAGGTCACCGAAATTGGCATTATCTACAATCCCATGCTGGAGCAGCGCTTCACGGCACGCCGTGGCCAAGGCGCCTACTACAATGGACGCCGCATCCAGGCCAGTGGACAGCGGGAGCTAAGCAAGGCGCTCGTCACCAGCGAATTCGGCACCTCGCGCGATGAAGAGAAGATGAAAGTGGTCAATGAGAACTTTGCCAAAATGGCCAAACAAGTGCATGGGTTAGTTGACAGCTTCTAAATGCTAGCTCAGTAAGCTGATTGATTCCTCTATCCATTTAGCTTGCGCGCGTTAGGCTCTGCTGCTCTGAACATGGCCATGGTGGCTCTTGGCGCTGCTGATGCCAACTACGAGTTCGGCATTCATGCCTGGGACGTCTGCGCCGGTGACTTGATTGTGCGCGAGGCAGGCGGCGTTGTCATCGATCCAGCTGGCGGGGACTTTGACATCATGTCACGCCGTGTTCTGGCCGCTGCCACACCGCAGCTAGCCCAAGATCTGGCCAAGGTGTTGACACAATACCAGCCCCTACCAAGAGATGATTAGTTCGGAATCGGTCAATCAGTCAATGGGAGAACTCAACAAGATATCTGCTCCTGAAGCCTAACCAAATAGCATTTGATTACTATTAAAAAAAAGTACCTCAAGGCAATTCCATTGTTAATCGAAATAAACCTGTTGATCTACAGATATATACTTAAGTCCGACTGTCAGTCAATCCATTTTCTATGAGATATATAAGCGCCTAGTTTAAGGGAACAACCAGAGATTGAACTCATTATATATTGATATAGTAAAGGCTAGTCAGTGTCATTTCATCTAATCTATATATACATTTGAAAGTCTGTATAGAATTGTATTACTATCTGTTTATTCAAAGACGTTTGTTTGTTTGCTTTTCAAGTACTTTTTTTCTGTAATTTTATTACATTTTGCGGCGCTTGTTTTTGCTTTTTTAATTATTATTTATATATCATTTTGCTATGACGTACTCTTATCTACTTGCAGTTGCCTATTGCTATGCATACTGTGGCTTCCATTTCATATACATATACATATATATGAATATAAAATGGAAACAACAGTATGCATTACAATATACATGCATATATGATTTTGCATATGCTTTAGCTGATAGCAATTTTGTTTTGTATGGCATGTAGACAGAAAAGTTGTGGCTTATTATAACTATTGTTAGATCAGATATATCAGATATAGAAGTTTAGTATATTGGGCTGACATAAACATACATGTATATATTTATATATATCTCTCGCTTTACAGATCTTTTTGAGCTTGAATCGCCAAATAGTTTTTAGCAAAGCGATAAAGATATATATGATATGATCATATATGTATATATATTTAGATATCTGATTTAACTTTCCTTTGGGTACTTACACTAGCTAGCAAGAGGGAAAGAGACAGGAATAGGAAGTTGACATTTTGTTCTCTTTGAAATTTTGTTGTTGAGTTTGTATTTCATATTTTGCTTTTTATTAATTATATTTTGTAGTGGAGTAATTGATGTAATGAATGTAGTTGCTAATCGTAAATATCATTTAAAATTTGACACATTATTCAAAAATGTAATCAAAGCTACAGTAGGTAAAAAATTGCATCTATATGTTATACATATATGTATTTATATATGTATACGTATGTATATGTATATCATTTTAATTATGTATTTTAATTAAATCAAATGTATTAATTCTACATTCACAGGGGTATTTCACTGAACTTCTGGGATCTGCAGCTAGAACAATTTAGTTTAGTTAAGAACTTTCGATACATACAGACACAAACACATACATACATATATATATATTTATAGATATTCTAGTTCAATAAGCGAAAGGTACACATGGAGCATTATACTGGTTGCCACGCCCTTAGATCTGTTGCGCAGCTCCCGCTATATTA